TCTCAAAATACTTTGGTCTGGGCAGCACTGTTAGGCTACTCGATTTCCAACTGCCAAGAGCATTTTTTTTCTACGTGCGCAACAATGCACACCGGCTTCTGATCTTACTACCCAGAGCAGAGATCAGGGAAAATTAATAGAAGTCCACGTGAAAAAAAAAATCCCAGCCTTCACCGGGGCTTAAACCCAAGACCTTCAATACTCGAGGTGGCCGCCATGCCTCGAGACCATGCAGCCGACGGCTGTGTTTTAGCAGCTCGTGGTTTTCTAGAGATGAGATATAAATGACAAAACACCCATTTGTAACCACCTGTATGTTAGTAATTATTAAGGGCCAGGTTGCTTTCAACCCTATATGTTATGGAGAAAATATATTCATTGCGTGATTTAGCTAATCTACAGAGTTTCTTGTCATCTTTGTCAGATTGGGTAGCTGCTGTATTCTTCCAACATTTGCGCTTTAGTTCTCTTGAACATTGCTGCAGCATTTTTCTATCTGATGTAATGTTCAGCTGAAAGTTGGGATTCTGCATCCTTTCTAGCCTGTTTCATTGTTTCCTATACACTCTAGGAGTAGGCTAGAGCAGCAAGGTCTGTAGGTGTATTGACACCTTTTGGGGACTGCTTTTGCAATTGAAATCCTGTACTAAATTACTGATGTCGCGATTCTGTACCCTGAAAGCAGACAGCAATGTGTCTGTCTTGTGTCTGTTTAGGCCCCATCTGGTTTTCTCTTTTTTCCACCTTGTGATGACTGGACCTATGTCAACTGATATATTCTGGACAGTAAGAATAATTTAGACGATGGTCTCTGCCCCTCAGGACATTCCCATAAGCGACGCGTCCCCATCCTCAGCAACAAGCGCAGAGTTCTAATTCCAGTCTTCTTCTTCTTCTTCTTCTTCTTCTTCGATCCTTCTGTCAGAAAACTTATATCAGGAGGCCGGTAGCCTTTATGAAAGCTATCGTGCAATCCATATCCTCTTGTGTACCATACAGTTTTGTCTTCATTGTGGTTGGAACAGGCCAGATTGCGTCTCTGTTGTCAGCATACAGTTGACAGTGTTGGAGCACATGCTCAGCATTTTCGGGTGCCACGCTGCAGGGACACGTCTCCGTATTTCCTACACCGAAAAATTTGAACATATGTTGACGAAATCTGTTGTGCCCTGTCCTTAGTCAGAAAATAATAGACTGTCCCTCTCTAGAGAGGCGATGAAGTGAGTCTTGGGGAGAAAATCTGGTGTGGATATCCAGCCACCTTTCTTGGATACTAGATTGTATTAGTGTTTTCATCTCTTGGTGGGTTAAGTCGCTATTTGGTTGTACCATGTCACTGCCGTTTCTGGCCAATCTGTCCGCTAATTCATTGCCTTCCAAGCCACAGTGACCTGGAATCCACTGCAGTACAGATTGTTCTACTGAAGAGCCTAAGTAAATCAGCTGTTGCGTCAAGTCTACAAACTGAGTGTCTTTTGGGTTAACAATTGCTTGTAGAACTGACATAGCATCAGTCAGAAAGACCACTCTGCTATATTTGCTGTGCTGTTGTCCATTCAGGAAAGAACATGCTGCTAGAAGTGCTTCTGCCTCTGCTCTGTAATTGGAGGAATATGAACCTGTTGGTACAGCCTGGTTGATTTTTAAACCATTTGGGCATTCTGTGTATATTCCCCCTCCTCCGTCTCTTACTGCTCTCTTGGCTGAACCATCTGTATACACTCGAATCCATCTCTCTCACCTTTCCCTTGAACGCTGATTGTCGAGCAGATTTCCCCGACCACTCCTCGCAGTAACATTCTTTTCAGCTAATGCAGCTGTGCTTTCCGCACTGTTCACTCGCCCTCAGAGGGCCCTGACAACACCTAGGTTGTCATGCCTCGGTTCATCACCACGTTGTGCAGAACCAGCCACTGTGGACTGTGGACTGTGGACTGTGGACTGTGGACTGTGGACTGTGGACTGTGGACTGTGGACTGTGGACTGTGGACTGTGGACTGTGGACTGTATGCTTCTAACAGGGAGGCTACCTGGTCTGTGCCAACGTCAGTCAAAACTAAACTATGTGGTGCTCAGGAAAATTTGGACTGCACGATAGCTTTCATCAATGCTACTGACCTCTTGATAAACGTTTTCTGACATAAGGATCGAAGAAGGTGTAGTTCTTTCGAGTTACGTAACTGCGTTGTGCCCGTTTACAGCATAGACGCGATGCTTGCGGCTTTCTGCCAACACATCCGACTTTTTCGGGTCATCATGGCACACAGACAAAACGAGGTACAAGTCTGAGGAGAGTGCATGTATTATATAATGCGCATTCTTCATCCGTAGCAGTAAGAGTGGATTAAATGTTACCGTCTACACAGATCAAATATTTACAGGTGGGCGGGGATATTTCACCTGTTTAGAGGTTTGTTTGCGAGTAATCCTTTTGCGAATGTGCTTTTTTAAAATAATGCAATACATATAGGTAATTTATAAGTCGTTCTCTCTCTCTCCCTTTCTCTCTTTTTCTCTCTCTCTCTGTGCGTGTGTGTGTGTGTCTGTGTTAAATCTGTCTGTGTGTGTGTGTGTGTGTGTATGTATGCATGCGTTTGGGTATATGTGTGTGTATATATGTGTGCGCATTCAAGCTGTTTGCATCCAACTGAAGATCGATGGTTCGTTTCACAGCGGCTCACACGGTTGACAAATGCAATTTCTAGAGAGATCTCTTGGGATCGTCACCGGAGCTACGGTTTTTTGCTTTGTCTGACCCTCATGGCAGACGACTAGCCGTTATGCGAAGAAAGACCTAGCTATATAAGATAAAATCCAGTACAATGAAGTCGACTTAACATTATATATATATATATATATATATATATATATATATATATATATATATATATATATATATATATATATATATAATGTGTGTGTGTATACGTAACTGGAACACGCCAGGCAGCCACACAGTGAGTAGTGTTTCCAAAAGCTTTCTATGATGGCTAATGTAGCTAGAACTTTACATGGTACAATTTTTAGGTTGGGTCGCCCTAGGCATCAGAGTCAGCAGGACCAGAACTTTTCAAACTTTTCATGTTGGTGACACATTTTATGATTAATACAAGGTAACGACGCCGTAATTCGGCCTACAAGCAAACCAGAGGTTTGCAAATCCACAAATTTTCCGATTTTGTGTGTCTGGTAGTCTGGTAGTCTTAGTTTCAGCTTCATAGCAAACGGGTTGCCCCATCTTTGCTCCGCTCCTGTGCCAGCGAAAAACACTCAGAATGTCTATCACAGTTCCTTGTGGAAAGATTGACAGACTGCTGTCTCAGCATATCTAGCATACACTCGCATTAAAGCATATAGTAGCCATCCGAAGTGCTAACACAAACAGTCCAACATTAGAAATGCAGTTCATCATTGATGATAGCAGAACTTGTCGTCAACAGATCAGCAGTTGTCCGCGTGATCAGTTTTAATACGGGTCCCGCCAGCATTGAACGACAGGCATCGCGCCATTTTCTGAATCTACAATTCACACCACCACGTTGGTCACAGTCGAAAAAAAAAAACATTCCAAATGCAATCCGCAGCTCACAGGGTCACGCCATGCATTCAACTCAGAAGCTGGGCGACGAAACTATATCCAGTCTACAAATGGAGCAAAAATGCATCGGCCACCGTTCGGCAGAAGCAAAAAATGTGCCTCTGTTCCGAAAGGCGCCGCTGTCTAGCGTCCATTTTAACCGGAAGAAAGAATGGAAACATCCCATGATTTTGTGTGTGTGTGGGGGTGGGGGGGGGGGTTTGTTTGTTTGTTTAACGCTTAATTTTAGGTGAAACACCTTCACATTGCAGTTGGGACACTGATGTTTCGAGACACGCAGTTTGGAAAGCTCTGGTCTAGCTCCTACGCTACGTCTCTTCTTTCAGGAATTGCGTCTCTCCTCATAGGAACCGACTCTCTTTTCAAGGCCTGGGTTTTGATATTTTGACGTAATGTTTGATTGCGAACTTTGTCCCTTCTTGTCCCTTGGACAACCTTTTTCGTATATATCATTTCTGAGGCCTGAAGCTGGCTTCTGTGAGCTGTTATCATTTCCGATGACTCACATCCATAGGTTAGGACTGGCGCAAAGGTAGAGCTGTAATTAATTTTCTTTAATGCTGATTATATCTCAGGATTTACAAGATTTTCGTAAATTCTGGCATGATCGTAATGATGGTTGGCTTCAGTCTACGTGTACATCCATTGTTGTCTAGAAATGTTATGTGTTGTATCACTCACTGTTCGAAAGCCACGAGAACAGTTTTATTACATTGTTGTCAGCACTTGGCCTAGAGCAAAGTGTAAAGAATGGTACAGTTACCAGAAAACGAGACAGAACAGAAAACGAGACGGAGACAGAAAACGAGACGGAGGTAGACAACGAGACGGAGACAGGCCTTTGCGAACGTGGATAAAAAATACTGAAGATGCATTGGTCATAAACGTACATAGGGCTGGAGAACTGGCTAGAGAAAGAGAAACTGTCAGCGGTGCCATGACGACAGCAGCGTCTGTAAAGCACCTGCTGATTAAATATGCCTCTTTCCAGACAATAGTGTTCTATTGTGGTATCAGAATGCATAGGAATCACAGCTCATGGCAATAACAGTTACGGCCACGAAAGTAGTTTCTCCTCTCCGCAGCACGAAGACTTGGCAGTACTGAAGAGAACATGTGTTGCCTATGCTATTTTGTTCTACCGACTCTCTAGCTCTAAAGGAAAGCCAACTCCAATAATTCTGGAACAAATCACTTTTCAGAAGCTGCCGGATAGAACAACAGTTTTATCTCTGTCCATCTATAGGCCCTTCATTCCTATACCAGTTGCCAAACAAGGCACATGATTTAGGTGCGCATTCCTTTGTGCTAGGATAAGCCTATTGTTTTTACATTATTTATTATTATTATTTTGCAGGGATCTCAGGGAGCCATAACACTACCCAGACAAGCGGGAAAGAAGGAAATAATATCCTACATTCAACATCTCAAGCAAAGAAAAGCCTGCTGCACAGAACCAGCTGTGGAGAAGTCGACGCATTCACCAGACCATCTTATACAACTGCAGGACACAGAACCCCACATTGCTCTGCCTTCAGACATCTATCAAGACTTCGAAGCTCTGAAGTCTGCCACGAAACTGGACACCACTGAGCTCATGAGGAAACTGCTCAACGGATATCAGCTGTAAGTCGTTCTTTCATTTAATTAATATTTTTTTTTTTTTAATTTAAGTAAAGTTTTTTTCTGAACACAGAAGACTGCGTAAATTTGTCGTACAAATTTTAATGCTGAAGTCCGAACAAAGGATAAACACGATGGAACACGGGTAGTAACCCATAAGTGCTCCGTTTTTCTTTTAACTCAAGTCTGAGTCTGAAGAAGCTCAGCACATGCTCCGCAGCACCGGTGAGGATCCTGAAATACTTTTCGATTTTTAACTCCAAACATTTGCCCGGGCAGCACCGTTAAGCTACTTTTTTCGATTAACAACTGCCAGGTTTTTTTTTTTTTTTAACGTGTGCAACATTGCACACGGGCGTCCATTCCCACAACCCAGAGACCAGGGGGAATTACTAGAATCCAAGTCCACCTGAAAAAATCCCAGCCCTTACCGGGGATGAACCAGAAACCTTAGCATTTTGAGGCGGACACCATCGCTCGAGACCTCGCATCCCTTCTGTCGTAAAAAAAAAAATCAGCAAAGTGCGTGGCATACATGACGCTTGTTTAGGACATTACTCTTCTTCTATCGTTAGCCTGAAACAAGTTGTCTGTATCAGCAATTTCGTCTCGCGTATAAATTTTGCTGTCGTTTTGTTCGTTCTGTGGTCCATAGAGTTTAATAAGACAAATTCAGGGCAGCCCTGGAGTACACACTCTGCTGTGTAGTTCACCATTCATAGATTTACACGATTATCACGCATATCTTGAATTTTAGGACATGATAGGGAACACTTCTTGCCAAAGTAGAAATTATTGAAGCTTTAGCTTGCCACACAGGAGAAAATACCATTTGTAAATATAATCTCTCCCTGTGCGTTTCGGTGCCCCATTTTGAGGGTAATCCAAATGACCAACTGTTCCCTTAAAAACATTTTGAAAAGGTGACTAAACAGAGGCAGTTTCCTTCGCGTTCGTCTGCTTGAGAGGCGATGAACCAACTGTCTGCACTTGAGACAAAGTCAGGTCTGTAAAGTGAACTGGTACCCAAAACAGAAGTTCTGGTCGAACAGTCAAAACTTTCTGCTGCAGTTTACAGTTATTGAACGCTAAGAAGAAGAAAAAGAAGAAGATAGTAAATATAATGAGGGAAGAGACAATATCTACTGTCTATACGATAGGAAATAACGACAAATTCATCCTGACATTTATGTGTTTTTTTTTTAACATAAGAAATGTCTGCTGAAACTAAAAAACAAAAAAGTGTTGAAAGACAGAACGATCCATGTGAAATATTTGATTCACATCAAAAGACATAGAACTACGTTGGCGTTCCGCTCCAAAAATGCATTCGATATGTATTGTTATGGTTTACAGCTTAGCTAAGATATTTGCACACTTCGGACCAATACATACGATTTTAGAAAACCTCTAATAAGTCAAATTTATGACATATTTTTATGACGACAGTTGGTTTAGGGCCAGTGCTCCCTTGGGGCATAAAGGACAAAACAAAACAAAAATTTTAAGAAGCAAGAAGAGAAGAAGAAGAAGAAGAAGAAACATAAGAAGAAGAAGAAGAAGAAGAAGAAGAAGAAGAAGAAGAAGAAGAAGAAGAAGAAGAAGAAGAAGAAGAAGAAGAAGAAGAAGAAGAAGAAGAAGAAGAAGAAGAAGAAGAAGAAGAAGAAAAGAAGAGAAGAAGAAGAAGAAGAAGAAGAAGAAGAAGAAGAAGAAGAAGAAGAAGAAGAAGAAGAAGAAGAAGAAGAAGAAGAAGAAGAAGAAGACGAAGAAGAAGAAGAAGAAGAAGAAGAAGAAGAAGAAGAAGAAGAAGAAGAAGAAGAAGAAGAAGAAGAAGAAGAAGAAGAAGAAGAAGAAGAAGAAGAAGAAGAAGAAGAAGAAAGAAGAAGAGAAGAAGAAGAAAAAGAAGAAGAAGAAGAAGAAGAAGAAGAAGAAGAAGAAGAAGAAGAAGAAGAAGAAGAAGAAGAAGAAGAAGAAGAAGAAGAAGAAGAAGAAGAAGAAGAAGAAGAAGAAGAAGAAGAAGAACTTCAACAACAAAACAACAACAACACGTAGAAGAACTAAGATAAGAAGAATCAACACTGGGTGTAGTCAACATCACACTGGCCGATGTAACAACAGCACTAGAAGAAAACCTTAAATACCTGCTTGCGCAAGAGATAGACCACCATTTAAAAAGAAAAATGCATGAGATCAAGAAATGCGCAATCAGCTATTTGAATGAGTTTAAAGCAAGTAAATAATTAATTTCAAATGGATTACAAGCAAATAAAGCACATAAATATATACTTTGACCAGCTGAAACACAAGTTTACAGCCAAGCCTTTGTAATTCTGCAGTAAATACCTGTGGTTATGCCGTTCATCTCGAAGCTCTGATAGCATGGGTGTCATGCACATACATATGCCAGACATTCAATTGTGTAATCTGCCGTGTGCGTCTCATTTGATTAACGCTATCCATTGGACGCATTTCTTGAAAATAGGCTTTTGTAAGTTGAAGTGTTTTAAAACTTGACTCTTTCACTACCAACAATTCACCATATGTTTCTTTAAATTTTCAACGCTTATTTGCTGTTCTCATTGTCCTCTATCACATAGTTGTTTGAAAAACAAGGACAACTTACAGGATCTACTCATCAATAAAAATTGGTTCACAAACAGCATCTGGTTTCGAAAGATGAGGTGTTGTTTTGATGATGGAAGAGAGAACAGTGATGGAGAGTACAGTTTTCAGAGAATGAGGCATCAAGGTGCATACAAGACATTGAAAATGCACTGGCTTTGAAAGCACATAGAGCTAGAGAAATGGCTGGAGAAACAGAGGCTTTCATACGTGCCGTGACGAGAGAGACGTTCTGTAAAGGACCTGCTGGTTGACGTCGATGATTTGAACTATTTACATGCTGTTTTTTTTTATTTTTTGAGTTGCAGAGTCCCATTGTAGGAAAAAAAAAACCCCACTACCTAGCTAATTAGAAGCTTCCTCGAAGCAAGGAACCAACAGTCTACATGCAAATGAGTTAGACATGTGAAAGGGATGTGCAGGCAGCACAGAGTTTCTGGAACACGACTGTCACATAACGCTTGTGTCACGTGTCTTTATTAGTTTCCCCTAACTCTTCGAGTCCCAGAGGGTTTAGCATGACAGGCCCAAGGGGTAGTCAAGAGGGACGAAAAATGGGCGCATCATGCGTTCATTGGGCTTCTAGGCAGTAACCTATGAACGTATGATGCGTTCCTTGGTATTCAAAGAGCTAATGAATCAAAAAGACCCTGTAAAGTAGTTTAAGTGTATATCTGTTGGCTCGCAATGGTCTAGGCGGTATCCCGCAGCTAAAAAAAAAACCTAGCCTATTTCAGGGGTGAGGCGACTCAAATTACAGCACTATAGAATTCATGAACACTCCTAGGCACCACTTGGACTGACATCCCCACTAATTTTAAGCCCTGAGACTATATGGTAATCCTATGCTAGTCAAATTAACACAGTATAACATGAATTTCACGATACCACATACATTCCAGACAACTTAAGAACTGTAAAAGAGGAACACTACCTACAGAATGTAAAATGATAAAACACCGTATAATCAGTGCAACAAAAGTATAAAAAAAAGTCAATGAATAAATTTATCAAGACAAAGTAACCAACTAGGGAAGTCAATAATTCTTTACTTTAGGTTGACTCCTTGTTTGCCCCTAGTAACGGTAAGTGTCATCGCTGCCAAACTGTGACATGTTAGATCTAGGTAGCTGGCACTCAGTGTCAGGGTTGACTGCATTTGCTGGCGACCACAACTGTCTGTCCAGGTTATCGTGTTCAGAAGTATGGTCTCCTCCAACATATGACAGTGCACGTTTTAAGTTCTTGTGAATTCCATCATAAAGATCACTGTTTACTAGTCACTAGAATTAACAAAACTGTGAATGTCTAGACTATACCACAATGAAGTGTTAAGAGAAAATACGTGAGACGTAAACCAAGTGGCGCATTTGTAATAGATAGTAAAGAGCAATATTAGATAGTACAATAATGTTTTCTTTGGCAATAGAAACTGAGAGCGACAAATACAGCAGTTAAATGCACACTTCCCAACTGATTTTTTTCGCTTAGTTAATTTAATGTGGCTGAAGTTTGTACCAAAGTACTTGTATGTTTCCACTCTTTGATTTTCACATTGTCCTTTTATATTTAGCCAGTTTGGATTCTCTCAATCTCTTGTTATTACCAAATATTCTATCTGATCTTGACTGACGACTAGTTCTATTTATTTAAGCTGTTGCCCGAGTCAGTCTTTTCTTATATGTATAAAAATTAGCTCTTCTTCTCAGCACTCTTGTCGCTCTTCATCTTCTTCTTTTTGTTTCCCTTATACTTCTACTGATGCTGCTACTACTGCTGCTGCTGCTGCTACTACTGCTACTACTACTACTACTACTACTACTACTACTACTACTACTACTACTACTACTACTACTACTACTACTACTACTACTACTACTACTACTACTACTACTACTACTACTACTACTACTACTTCTACTACTACTACGTCTGCTGCTGCTACTATATTTACTAATATCATTACCACTATTTTTTAAACTATTAGATTTGTCTTCTTTTTCCTTTCTGAGTATAACACATTTTTGTGAACACTCGATATTTTTAGAACCTTTGATAAACAATCAGCCAACACAGCCATCGTTGTATTTTTTATTTTCCTGTTTATTTCTCTCATTAGGACCTCAGCTACTGGCCAACCATCACGTGACAGGAAGCTGGATGATGCCATCGACGACCTCTTTCAGGCAAGGTCAGCAAGCGTACTTGACCTATCAAGACGAAACGGATCAAGCCCCATGAGCTACAGCCTCCAGCAAGAAGGTAAATCTAGTCCTCTTCAAGGCTACAGTTTCACAGACGATCAGCTGGCAATGGGGATCCTAGACTCGATGCAAGAGGGCGACGACAGCAGCAACGATCTTAAACCGCTGGATTTGACTTTACATAGAAAAGACTCTCCGTCCTCGTTAGATTCTGCCACGATGCGGGGAATACACGTAAACACCAATCTGGGAGTTGCTGCCTTCTCGCCTGTGCTAAACTGTCCAGCCATTTCTAATAAAGAACCCCACTGCTCGCAGACTTTCAAACACGCAGGTTCTTACGTCATAAATCTAGAGCCGCGCAACAGTAGCCCTTTGTTGGCAAACTCGTCTCTAGCGCAGGTACTTCAGATGGATATCCCTCTTCATGGATTCAGTAAGATTCAGAAACAATCTGCCGTGTCTCCCGAGAGTGTACACGGCAAAGACGGCAGTTACACAGCCTCACAGAAGACGAGCTCTGATCCCTGCGTTTCAAATGCTGTGCATTTCAGATCAAAATTATTTCATGGAGGAAAACCGTTTTCACCGATGGCTAAGACGTTTGGCGAAGGAATGGGGCAAAGTAGTTCTGGTTTTAGTAGCCCGCCGTCGTATGCCGAAGCAGTCACTTCTGTTTTGAACTCGCAGCAAAACAAAAGAGTAAGTAGTATTAGCGAATCTTTATCGTTTGTTCGGAATTTAGATACAAATGAACAAGACATCAAGTCGAGATCTTTGTCTTGTATTCAAATTAATGCTGAAGATCCAGTTGGCAAGTTCATCCCATTCACCATCAGCCCCAAGCTGACATCCTCTCAAGAAAATCAAAGACAGCAGAACCTTCTACAACAACTTCTACAAAACCAAATTAAAGCTGAAAATAAGCCCCCAGCACATTTATTTCAACAGTCACAGCAACAACAGCAACATCTTCAGAACACGTCAAAAACTTCAGAAACCGAGCAGTCGAGCTCGGCAAACAACTACAGTAACTCACCGGTATCCCATGTCCCAATGCTGCAGTTCCCAGAACTACTCAAAGACTTTAATGACATGAAACATAGTTCAAAGATGTTAGGAAACAATGAATCGCCTTACCCTAACTTTTTGCTGGAATCGAACTCTGTAGGTATCCCATCAATCTCTAACGCATTGGCCACCTCAAGCAGTTTGCCAAACACATCTGTCCCGTTATCTACGTTCTTCATGACCACTTCTGCTAATGGTGGCGTGGGACATATGGTAGCGATACCTCTTATTCATGCAGTTTCTGATGGCGTTACAGGATTCCAACCCTTTGCATTCGCACCACATCAAATACCAGCACCGAACACATCATCAACACCAACAACTCAAAGTTCTGCTGATGTAAGTATAGCTTCAATACCAGTAGGTGCCTCAAAAACTGCAAAACTATCTAACGAAATGGTAAACCAAGAGCCAACAAGTTCTATTCTTTTCACATCCGAATTACATCCATCCCCTCTTTCAGAAGTCAGCAAACCGAAGCCAGGTCGACCTAGAGGTAGAGGCGGTAGAGGAAGCTCTCAGAAAAGCCAAAATAAAGATATGAAACTGCTCACAGAAAACACGCTATTTCCTGGTGTATATACAAGCATTTTAAAGCTACCATGGAGTCGGAGATCCAGAAATAAGACAAAGGTGAAGGCAATTTCTGAGTTGAAGAAACAAGCACAAATTATTGTTCACGGAAAAATAACTGAACATGATGATTGTGTTACTGGCGACAAGCTTAAGAAAGAAGAAGAGATCGAAGACAAGGACATTAATAGATTAGCCATGTCAAAAAACATTCTTTCGCAGAAGATAATGGAAAACTCAAGAGAAAGCGAAGAACAGCTGCAGAACGATTTGGAGGATAGCCAAAGGCGCCAGATGCAGCAGCAGAAACTAAAGGATCTTGAACAGCAACAGAGACTGCACTTACAATACCATCTCCGACTGCAAGAAGAACAACGAAAATTAACGAAACAAATTGAACAGTCGTATATAAACACAAGTGCCGAGCCCGCTCTAGCCCTGCCGTTTGCAGCAACCAACCAGCAAATTCTTCAAGGGAAAATCTTGGACAGTACACAGAAGGAGTTTTCTAAACTACCCGTTTCTATGGGTAGCAGTGTTCTGTCAGACTCCATAGGGTTCAGCCAGCCAGTGTTTTCAAAAGATGCCCTCACTGTAGTTTATTCCTATGCAGATACTAACACCCTCAGGAAGACTCCAAGGAAGCGTGGACGCCCGCCAAAGATTCCAAATCTGCCATCAAAGGCATGTGAATCACAATTGCCTCTTATTACAGAGTCTATAGCTGGTTCTGCAGATCAGTACGACGAGTCAGTCAATTTTCTTCAAACAAATACCGTAAACTCAGGCTGCGCTATCTCTACAAAAGGCAACTTGTCCATATTTCCCAATTCGGTATCAGCGCCCGTCACATTCGAGGATGTCAGTCCAACGGTTTTACAATCCGAGGACACTGGAAATGACAGGGATAATGAAATGACGTTGGAAAAGAAAATAACATTTTTAACAAATCAAATTGGGCTGGAGCTATCTAAAAATGGCGTATCAGAGTCTTCAAATGCAAACGCAATGAACAAATCTCAAACAACGAAATGCGCCGAAGATACAACAAGTCAGCTTGAAGACATGATGTATCAAGAAATGAAAATTGCAGTTAACAAATCTTTAATTGACATTAAACCCCGAAGAAAGAAAGTCTCAAGACTCCTCAAGTCTGATGAAAACTTTATGTACGCCACGTTTAAAATAAAACCAAAAGGTCTTACCCCAAGGAAAAGCAGAAGGCGGAGAAAGGACGTTTTAGCCAACACGGCAGCAGTTGCAGAAACCATAGCAAACTTACGGAAAAAGTCTTTGCATGAGGGTTCGACCCCAAGCTCCACCTCTGACAGTTCCAAACCTCTGTCTATGGTGGCATGGAAGTTTCATGAGCAATATGCATTTATACCTGAAGAAGGAGAAGAAGAAGAAGACGCAAACAAGGATAAAACAGTGACATGCTTAAAATGTGGCAGCTATTTTTTAAACGAACACAATGATCTAAGACCTCATCTTTGCAAGTCGTGTCTTCTAGAAAGTTCTGATGTGGGTGATTACAAAGATGGTACACTGAGCAATATAGGACAGATGCGCGTTGGAGGTGCAGACGTGAAAGCAGAAGTTTGTGTTAGCTGTGGTTGCATTCTGCAGAAACATTTCTCAGACACTAGTGTGACATGTGGGCTCTGCAGAAATAACACCCCAGGTAGCATAAAGACATCAAAGCTGTTCTCTTTTCAAGACAGCCCGGAGGACACTCCGCCAGCAGGGCGGCTTCTGGGAAACAAGACTCCACCGAGTGGAACGTTTGTGGTTTCTCCAGCTGAGTCACAAAATAATGACAAAGGTGCAGACAGATGTTTAGCTAAGATGAACAACAATCACCTTTACTGCAGTCAGTGCAGAATGGTGTTCACTAAAATATGTGATTACCTGGCTCACAGTAGAGACACCCATGAGACGAAACATTCAGAGAAAAGAGGCAGTATATCCGGTGATTCTCCAACACCGAACGACTCTAACCGCAAACCCAGAGTTTCAAAAACCAAAAAGTCACTGGCACACAAGACACTGACATGCCCAGTGGAGGAATGCCCCCACTTCTTCAGGGAGCAGAAAGATCTAGATCTACATTTCATGAAGAAACATTCAAATCTGAACAGTTTTCCCAAAGGAGAATGTGGATTCCCATATCAAACTGCCGAAGACCTCGACAACAACCAGCAACTCCCCCAGAATTCATCGACCACAGCCATCACCACCACTACATCGACATCAGCTCAGCTTGGCAGAGGCAACACCAAGGGTAATGATGGTTTAAACAACGAGGACAAAGCTGCAGCATCCGCCATCTCTTGTGAAAAACCGTTGCAGTGTGAATTCTGTGATTATCGCTGCCGCCAGAAGAACGCGCTGACGTGGCACATGAGGAAACACCCAGAGGCTGCTTCCCAGTACAGGAGATATAACAATCTGAATGCAGATTGAGGCAGCACCGTGGTGTAACGACTAGGCGCTCACTTTGGGTCCGCAGGTTGTAGATTTAAATCCGTATCGAGTCGGATTAATTTTTCAAAAACGATATTGGTCAACCCGGCCTAAAACTGGTACCATGTAAATTTCTAGGAAGTAAAAACGGTGGGCCCAATGACCACATCATCAACCGAAGTACCGACTAGTCTATAATATACAGGTCCAGTACTATATGCCCATAATACATCTAATGGTGTTAAAAGTGTCATTGACTTTACTTTTGTGTAGATTATTGTCTTTTCTTAAACACACCTTTAATCATCCTTACCGACTCTGGATGGCAGGTTAAACAGGGCTGATGCTGGTGCCCCAAGTATAACTTCTTTGTTGTACAGGCTGAACGAGGGATCTTGAATTTGCTTTGCTGATCTGCCGTCCAAAGTGAGATTCTGACCCATCAGGTGTCGATTTGTTTTATAAAGATATTTCTACAGCACCATATGCCAGATGCGCCTCAAGTCGTAGACACGAAATCTTTGCTCACACTTCACCTATTTTAATTTGCATCTTCTTCTTTTTCCTTTTTTCCTCCTATTTCCTTTGTCTTTCTTTCTTCTTCTTTCTTTGTTCTTCCTTTTCCTCTTACTTCTTTCTTATTTCTTCTTCTGTTGTCTTCTTCTTCTTCTTCTTCTTCTTCTTCTTCTTCTTCTTCTTCTTCTTCTTCTTATTATTATTATTATTATTATTATTATTATTATTATTATTATTATTCTTCTTCATCTCTGATCCTGCTTTGCCTTTGAGCATCAGGTTTATACAAAAGCATCTGGCGCGAAAGCCGGTATCAGCTACTGAAATGCTGCTATTTACAGTCTCGGATATTCGATCTATCCATTGCTTAGAGGATCTACCTCTAGATCTGCTTCGGTTTTTTCCAAGTGACAGGGCTCTCTGTGGTGCTCTATCTTATATTAGTCTTGGAAACGCGTCCGAACCATTTGATTTTTTGCCTTCTGGTGTGGTTTAGAATGTTACGTCCCCACTTGTTTCCAGATGTCATTTCTTATCCTGTCTCTTTAAGTTATGTGTACGATTCGTTGTAGAGAGTTTGTGGCTTTGGGTACGACTTATTCTTTTGTTATTAACGGTAATGATTTGCACTGGTAAAGCAATGTTGTTAACAATACTGTAAGGAACAGTGCTGTTTTGGTGGCAATTGTTACATGTTTGTTTTGCAATATTGGTGATATCTGTCCAAGAATATGATTTGCTTTATTACATCGGTGTTCTATCTGTGCTTAAATTTTCCAATGATGTTATGCTTCCCAAATAATAAATCGTTTGATTGCCTAAATTGGTGGTTTTCTATGCATATCTTGATTAGTTGTGTTGCTTTGCAATGGCCCCAATATTTTTGTCCTATGGTTAGTTTTCATATTTTGTTCTATGTTCAGATTATCTAAACACTGATTGGGTCAATTTACCTTCATACGACCTGGTTGCACTGTGAAAACTGGATACGAACTGTCTATATTCCACAGCTGTGGGTTCAGGTGGTAACAGACCTAGTTAATAAATACACGATGGGTGTGGGGTGGTTTTTTCACACATGAATCGACCAGAACGACGGAAGACAGAAGATTCAATGAATATTCATGAGGCGGAAATGTTGATATAGGCAGGGTGGCTTTCAGTTTGTTTTTAAACATATAGTATTCTCATAAATATATAAACAGAATCTTTCACTTGCGCAGTCCGAGCCGACAACATTCACCACGCTTTCCTAAATCCCCAGGCTCAAAGAATGCCCCCAACGCCCCCCCCCCTTTTTTTTCAGGCAGTAATTGCGTGCTTTCTTGCTTGTTGTACCCCACCAGGACATCATACAAGCGATTAACACCCATTGACACAAAGTGCCACAATGCGGATGAGGATCACCGTGGAGAGATCTCAGAAACCCCTTTAAGCCGTAATGGCCACATTTGTGGCCCAGCTATATTCGGGGCCCCCTGTAGAAGCCAGGGTGGGGTTTAAAAAAATTAAAAATTGCATCCCACAAGGAGACGGCTAGTAAAAAGTTACGAGGCAGTAATTGGCAGTATTCACATAATGGAAGTCGCTGAATGCAACAATGATTAGGGTATGATATCAAAACAACTAGTTTGAGAATGGAGGTGGAGGCAGTCACAGCTGCTTCCCGCTGGCTTGAGAACCAGCTGTACAGACATTGCATGATTGTAGCAGATTCGCGGAGCATAGTAAGAGAGGTAGAGAAGGCATGCTCTGTAGAGAGAGTCAGGTTAGTTGCGCATCCTTTACATGACGTCACAGAACAAACCCTAGCAGACACTGGCTGTTGTGTGGTTTCTCTAGGCAAATTTACATCCACTAGTTTGTAGAGAGGAGGCTAGTGTCATTTCAGAGGTCTCTGCTAGTCAGCGACTTTTGGACCCATTTATTCGGGCAAGCAGGTGTGTTGAGAAACGAACATAGAGACTGGCCTATTACTAAGCAGGGTTGTCGAACTGTTTTGGGAAATAGTACCAAATTTGCATTGTTGTTGTTGTTGAAGAAGAAGAAGAAAAAGAAGAAGAAGAAGAAGAAGAAGAAGAAGAAGAAGAAGAAGAAGAAGAAGAAGAAGAAGAAAGAAGAAGAAGAAGAAGAAGAAGAAGAAGAAAGAAGAAGAAGAAAGAAGAAGAAGAAGAAGAAGAAAAAGAGGAAGAAGAAAGAAGAAAAAGAAGAAGAAGAAAAAGAAGAAAGAAGAAGAAGAAGAAGAAGAAGAAGAAGAAGAAGAAGAAGAAGAAGAAGAAGAAGAAGAAGAAGAAGAAGAAGAAGAAAGAAGAAGAAAAAGAAAAAGAAGAAGAAGAAGAAGAAGAAGAAGGCTTTCGGTCCGAAATGCAAACGCCATCTGGCTCTATGTGAGAATTCATTTTCTGTACTGATCTTGGGTGCATAAATGGACCTAATGTCTGCTAACATCTTCTTATTTTCTTTTTTTTTTTTCTCTCTCTTTTTTTAAATTATTATGATTAGAGTATTCCCTCTCCTGAACTGCACCCTGTAGGATTACCATGTCAAGAAAGAGCATCAACCAGGTACAAATCCCGAAAAACTCATTCTGCCGCACAGCCGTCTAGCGATCATAATAGGGCACCACAAAACGATTCTTAGTGATTCTGACAACTTCACTGGTGGATGAAATAAGTAGGCTTTTACGCTAAGGGAGACAACTACATAAATAAGAAACTCCTAACAGGAGTAACTCGCCGCGGATAGGGAGGTCATGGGTTCGCTCCCTGGCAGAGCCTGACTTTCTTCAAAAAATGACCTTGGCTCCCAGGTCGAGTTTGATATAAAGACCCCTCCAACATAACCCAATAGCCTTTCTTAGACACTTAGAATTTTTACAAAATGTTGGTTTGACTTATATGCATGTATATGATTTTGTACAACATTGAACACTAACACTGACAAAAGGCAACACTTGTAAATACACACACAGAATCCACCAATAAAAGCTTTTCAAAAACGAAGAAAAAGAAACAAATAAAAAACTGACAGGAGTAACGCACTGGTAATAAGTTGTGTAGCATTGACAAATCAGTTTCACCTTTTCCCAAACTAAACTTGCTCTTTTACAGAACCAGGGTTGTTACACAAATATTTTCTCGGTCTGTCACAACCAAAATAAATTCCTACTACAATTATAATTGTTTACATATTTTCTAATGTTATTTAGTTTTAACATCTGTCAGTGAAATTTTGATGACCAATAAAGGCGCAGGACTAAAGATAAATATATCTCGTCATCCCCTTGTGGAGTGTAATTTGTAGCTATTTTGAAGCCCCACCCTGGCTTTAGTCAGGGGCCCTACTTACAGCCAGGCCTAAAATATGGCATAACGGCTGAACGGGGTTTCCGGAACCTCCCCAAGGGTGATCCTCATCCACTTTGTGACACTGGGTGTTTTTTGTTTGCCTGATGTCCTGGTGGGGTACATCTTACATACATAATAAAGTTAAATGTATGTAAACACTAATGCCTGAGGCAAATGTCGAACGTAAAATCTGGAAGAATTAAAAAAAGAAGAGAAGGGGGTGGAAAAAGGGGTGGGGGAGGGAAACAAATAAGAGAAATGTCTGGGGAACAAGGGGTAAAACAAAAAAAAAACAAAAAAAAAGATGGAGCTTTATTTGAAATATCATATAGAGGAAACGAGCGAATAATCACCAAAAACAGACACTCAAATGGGAAATAAAGTGGCAGTGGAAGGACTTCTAAAAGATTCCCTAAAACGAACGTTGATGAGAGAACCCACAAGGTTGAACTGGATTCCATCCACGACAATGATAAGATTGCACAGGATAGAAAGCAACCATGGGTCGGGGTAGTGGTGGTGGTAGGGGGTACACTGCCAGCTCTATGTGACACACAATGAATGCCAACACAGGACAATGATAATGGTGATGACAGTTATCATTGACTTGCTATCTTTGCTTCACGTTCAGCTAGCATCCTCAAAGGGGGTGCTTTAGGTTAAAATTGTGAATAGGTTTATCTATGTCATATAAAATTGCTTAGCATTACTCGCCACCAAGAAGCCCTGAACAGGACTCTTGCAGATTTGATGCGATTAGAGGAGACAGACCCAAATACTATTCGGACCGGGTGACGAAGTCGTCTACCGGCCAGACAATGGGCGGCACGGTCGCTAGTGTGAGTTATCACTGAACCATATACGCCATGTATATGATGGTGGCCTTGAAGGAAGTGCTCCGAGTGGGCAGTAAATGTGTTTGTTTAATCGAATAAAAGGTCACATTGCCGACAACAATAAAAATGATGCTTAAAGTAACAGGATACGATAAAGGACACTCGAACAAGAAAGAGATGGGTAAAAGAAGTAAAGCAAACACAATTAACATTAACACAAACAACGCAACTAGTACAAGACAGGAAGCTACTTCTAACTCCTCTTGGCGACGCATTACGGAATTTGCAGTAAGAGACGACA